TGTAATTTGATCGTTATCGATGTTCATCATTAGTCCTCCCTAAAGTTGACGTTGGGGTTGGTCAGCAGACAATTCCTCACTGAAGATGGCGCAGTGCCGAAACGTTCGAAGTAATTCAATTAGTACGCGAATAACGACGGGCCTAACAAGTTCAACACACTTCACCCTGACAAACAAACCTACTCTTATATCTGAAGTATTGCAAGGTTCCTAAAGTCCGAGATTTTGAGTTCATATGTGCTTCGTGATTAACCTGAAGTTTGATTGTGTCCGATCATCCTGGCCTTTTTTACTAAATACTTCAGTGGTTTGCTTCACCCTGCTTGTATCCCTGACCAGACCTGCTCCTTCCCTTAGTAGCTTAGTATGGAAATCATTAAATGCTACAGCAAAATTTTAAGTTTAGATATGCGCAGTGATGATCCTGTAGTTTGATCATTTCTTTGACCTTTTTTGACAAAATTTCCTTGTAGACGACCAAAAATGTTCATCGTTATCGTTTCGCCATTTATATATAGTGGTTGGCTTGTGGTCTTGATTTCCCTGGTTAAATCTTAAATAGCCATGTAGAATGAAAAGGTGACTAAAGATCATTGCAAAATTTCAAGCTTGGATTTACGTAGTGATGAACTTGTATTGTGGTTGTTTTCGATAAATGGTATTCCTATCCTGGCTGTTTTGACGAAAAAAAATTCCTTCTTCAATCGTTAGATGGTCTAATTGTTTCACCCTGCTCGAATCCCCGACTAGCCAAAATATCCTTACAGGTGAATTTCGCTGTTTATAATGAATAATAATTAATAGAAAACTCTAAAGTGTAAGGCGTAAGGGGAGAAATGAATTGATGGTTCCAAGTAATTTTCTGTCGTACCTTGGCTCTCTATAAAGAGCGAGTAGGCATGACGCAAGATATGATAAATCTCTGAACTCCTGGTCTGTTTTTGGAAGAAGTGTTCTCTGTATATAGTTATATTTTTCAATCAATCTAAAATAAGTCGTGACATGAATGGTCATTTTTCTTAATTTTCTATTACTTAAAAATCAAGATATTCATACTTCTCATCCATTTTTTAACGATTTATTTACTAATTTTTAAAAATTAAACCTTGTAATCTGATTGTACTTATTATCCTCGTTTTGCCATATTCGGTGGTGGGTTAGTCACTAAAAAAAGCACGATATAAAGTAGTTTATTATGTTGTATATAAAAATTGTTGTAATGAATTTTTATTAGATCCCTAATAATAATTTGTATGCTAATGCTAATTTCATTCAATGCTTTATTGACACATCAATTTTTTTTGCATATTATGTACTAATTTACGCTGGGGAAATATATTTTTTTCAATGTGTATGGTGTTTCTTTAGTTTGCCTGCATAATAAGGATTTATGATTTTTTTCATGTATATAGAGCTGGTATTTATGGGAAAAATAATAATAATAATAGCCCATTTTTTCATTTTAACCGTGATCATTAAATATAAATTAAAATTAAGAACATCGAACTTCTTTACCGTAGTAAAAATATTAAACTTTTACCCTCTATGTTCTTTAGTTGTTGTTTTTTCCTCTCTGTATATTCTATGTCCGTACTTGGGATGCTAAATCAGTGTTTCTGCTATATTTGTCAGCCAGTGGCGCGAAGAAAGGCGTTCTGTCCACTTCGGACGACTGTGACAAACGCACAAGAAATCCAACTCGGTATTGTAACTTTATATTTATGTAAATGAGCCACGGACTGACCCAACCCGCGTAACATCCTGCCACAACGGGCCTTTTTTAGGCTTGTTTAATATTTTACCGAGAGAGCGATGTAAGTTGACTGATGTAACGAATGTTGAACTAAACGATAAACAATAACTCCTGCCGGAAAAGCTTATGTTCTTAAGGACTTATTGTGACATCATTTCTAGGCTCCATTTGACTTGCGACTTGCAATATCCTTAAACATTCCTGTCTAGAGGTTTTCACCTAGTACTTACAATTACAGTACGTCGAATGTCTGTAGAAGGTGGCTGTAACATATCCATCATCCATCAATGTCCTTTCCGATCTTTTTGGTCTGCCTAACCTTCCTTTATCATCCTCAGTCATGAGTTTATGTCAATTGCGACGAAAAGCAGATCAGGATAATCTAATACGACAAAATGATAGGTTCATCATCTCAAGAAATGTCACAATATCAATAAGTTGTATATACACTGAGAGGCCAATAAAGTTACCACCTTTAATATGGTTAATTATCTCTTAGACAATTTTCCATTCATTTTAGAACAATATGTGGTCCATTTTGAAGGATCAGATGTAAATAAAACACGTATAAAATCTTCCATTTTCAAGTTGATTTTATAAATAAATCTTTGAATAGTCAATCTCTGTGTTGGTTTTTCTGTAAAGCTTTTTTTTCTAGTCCCGATGGTTTGATGTTTTAACTTGTACCATTTTTAATTTTGTATGAATGGGGGTTTTAAGTGATACAGATTCGGTTAGAATCATAGCATTGTTGGAAGATAGAAGAAGTCAAGCGTATATGGCCAGGGTGCTTAATATTCCTAGAACAACTCTATGAAGGGTAAAAAAGTCAATGGCACGAGCGGGATTCGAACCCACGATCTTCGCCTAGATACGCCGCTGCTCTACCACTTGAGCTATCGTGACCTCGATCCACTCGGACACTAACTTCCCATCTCAACCCCACTTTTGAATTTTCCCTCCTTTTTGCCATTTTTCAAATTTGTAATCGGATTGGATTCTCGATGAGAAATGAAATGGCCACGGAGAGCTTTAGTGAAGTACACTTCATATTCTTTTATCTCAACTAAAAACCTTAATTAATTGTAATATATTAATTGGTCAAGCAGACCACGAAATTAGTGAATTTAATGATTTAAAATGAAGTATACTTCACTAAAGCTCTCCGTGGCCATTTCATTTGTCGTCGAGAATCCAATCCGATTACACGACATTTGAAAAATGGCAAAAAGGAGGGAAAATTCAAAAGGTGGGGTTGAGATAGGAAGTTGGTGTCCGAGTGGATAGAGGTCACGATAGCTCAAGTGGTAGAGCAGCGGCGTATCAAGCCGAAGATCGTGGGTTCGAATCCCGCTCATGCCATTGACTTTTTTATCTCAACTAAAAACCTTAATTAATTGTAGTATATTAATTGGTCAAGCGGACCACGAAATTAGTGAATTCTATGAAGGGTCTTCTATCGCTACCAAGATACTGGAGATTACTCAAGAACGGATGGATCAGGTCTCCTCAGAGCTGATGGTTTTATTGTTTCAAATGTATTCCGTAATCGAGATTCTACTCTTGTTGAGATCAAGTAATGACTTCAACAAGTTAGAAATGTAAACGTAAGGGGAATACTTTCAGAAGCTGGCTAACAAGCGAAAAAGCCTGCCAATGGTCCAGATCTTTTGAAAAGGCACAGTACAGATCGGTTAAGTCTCACAAGAAATCGCATCAATTCGTCTAAGAAAGATTGGACTAAAATCTTACTTTCGGATGAGTCAAGGTTTTGTCATTACTCGTGACAATTACGTGTTATGGTTTGGGCAAACATTTTTATAGAAGGTCGCACAAATTTGATAGTCATCGGTTCCCTAAGAGTTGCGCGATACATTGAAGCTGTGTTTCAGATAATGTTCCTTATATGCTACTAATTGGCGACTGTTTTGTTTTTATGCATGACGGTGCAAGGCCCCACACAGCTTGAATCGTTGGTGACTACTTCGAAAGGGGTTCAATTCGATGTTTGGAGTGACCAGGATGTAGTCCGGATCTTAAACCGTATTGAACATCTTTGGGCCGAGTTGTGAAAGAGGGTAAAAATCGCCCAGTGATAGAAGATTTGCAAGAGTTAAGAATAGCGCTGTTGAAGGAATACGAAAATATTCCACAGCAACGTCGAATGCAAGCGGTATCAACCAAGAAGATGAAATACTCCATACAGAATTGGCCATTTTCTTCATTGTTTCCATGGAAACATTTTTGGTAAACCCTTTATGTTTTAGTGGTCAATTGTCCGAGTTTCTTCTTTCAATTAGTTATTCTTTTTATGTAACGTCTTGGTTGGGATAAAAACGTCAGTGTCTCGAGCGGGATTCGAACCCACGACCTCGGCTAAATACGCCGCTGCTTTATCACTTGAGCTATCGTGACTTCGATCCTCTCGAACACCAACTCTCCATCTCAACCTACAACCGTTCGAATTTGCCCTCATTTTTGCCATTTTTCAAATGTCGTGTAATCAGGATTCGATTCTCAGCGACTTATGAAGTGACCACGGGGAGCTGTTAGTGAAGAATAAACATTTTTTGTAAAATTGTTTTACTCAGTTTAATTTTTTTATTTAGCTACATCTTATATTTTTCTTTAAAGATATCCAGTAAACAACAAAAAATAAAAATTAAAAGGATTGCAAGTATTTACTAAATAAAACTAGGGTGGGCACTGTTTTTAATCTCAGAGTACTAAACTAATTGATAGTCTCCTTCTTCCTATTCTGCATTTCAGGCTGAACTTTTATGTTCATAGTAAAACTGTAGTAAAATCCCAACAACAAATGAATGAAATCAAATGACCCATTTAAAAAATTTCGAAAGCCCACATAATGTACAACGATTGTACATAACACGCGCCATGTTGAACAGTCGCAATTCAAAATTGCAATTATAAAAAAAAAGTAGCCGGTTGAAAAATCTAGTAAGTCGGTTAAATGCTAAACAACTGTACAGAATCATTTATTAAATACAATAAATTACCACTGCTTTTTTACATCACAGTGTTATTAATCGCACTTCTCACTTGCGTTCGAGATAAGCTCAAAACTAAGTGGGTCGCTTCGGCTGAGTTCAAATTTTATTACTGTTGTTAAATGAACGCTTCCAATGAACGCTTGCATGATGTGCAAAGGCTGTAATACACGAAGATTGCCTGGTTTCCGTATTAAGCAACGTTGAAGAATATGTAAGAGTCTGTTGGTATGTTGCAGGGCCGGCGGAGGGAGAAAGCGACGCTCTCATAGGTCGTAGCTCCGGTACTTCGCCACACCAGCCGTCCCCAAGTATGCTGCTATTGCAAACTCAGGTAAGCAAGGGAATTAAATTATATTTTAATGCATGAAAATAGTAACAACGGTGTTATCTGGGACATTAGAGGAAATCTAAGTATCTATTTCTTATTTTTCTCAATGGATTGTTTTTTGATCATCTAACCTCTGTTCTAGCTTTTTTAAGTTGACAGTTCAATACAAAAGTCTCAAGTTTGATAAGAATTCATACATTTTTGCAATCAAAACACTCATACATTTCTGAGCATTTTTATAAGAGAAAAATTTAATTTAATGGTGTATCTGAAAATCAACAAAAAAGTTTATTAATCGAAAAAAATTTATAGTTCCATACATACAAATCTCTAACATTGGGGAAATTATATTTTCAAGTGCTTATGAAACTTCTGTATCCTATATACGGATTGTTTTATCTTAAAAAAATTTCGGGAAATCTCTTTTTTCCTAGTCGTGGTGTTGTAAGAAAGATTTTTTTACGAGGGTTCGCAACAGTAGAGGTCATATAAACCCTCAGGGTGCCGATGTTTTTGAAAACAAGCCCATTTGTAAGTATGTCGGGTTTGAATGCAGGGCCGCTGGATTCGAACCCGGGGCCTTTACCTCATAGTGATGAGCGCCGTACAAACGCCACAGACGCCCCCTAGATTTTATTAAACATCTGTATTCTGTATACAGACTGCTTTTGGGTGAAAAACTTATGAAACATGGAATGATATGCTATTTTTGAATTTCATAGGCATTGGTGAAGATTTTATGAACCATTTGTATGCTATAAACAGGCAGTTTTGGGAGAAAAATTTATGAAACTTCTGAATTCCGTTGGTGAATTTTGTTAAACTTTTGAATTTAGTATAGGGACAGTTTTTGGTTAAGTACATAAAAAACTTCTGTATTCCATAGAGGTGGGACTGTAGCGAGGAAGTTATGAAAATTCTGTATTTTGTATTAAGGCTGCTTTGGATGAAAAGCTTACAAACTTCTGTATTGATGTAGATGTGCCTTATTGGTGAAGATTTTGTGAAAATTGTTTAACCAGTAAACAGGCTTCTTTGGTTTTAAAAAAATCATCAGACATAGAAAAATTTGCGCAACTTTTGAATTCTATAAACATTAGTGAAGATTATGTGAAAATTTTCTATTTTGGAAACGGCGATTTTTGACTAAGTTACGTGAAGTGAGGTTGTAGAGAGGAAATTGTGAAACTTTTGTATTCTGTATTCAGGCTGCTTTGATTGACAAACGTGTGAAACTTTTGAATTCCGTTAGTGGGTTGTATTGAAGAAGATTTTTTTTTAACTTTTGAATTTAGTATACGGGCGGTTTTTGGTTAAGGACATGAAAAACTTCTATATTCCATAGAAGTGAGGTTGTAGTGAGGAAATTATAAAAGTTTTGTATTCTGTATTCAGGCTATTTTGGGTGAAACACGTATGAAATTTTTGAATTCCTTTAGTGGGTTGTATTTGACAAGATTTTTTTAAACTTTTGAATTTAATATACGGGCGATTTTTGGTTAAGGACATGAAAACTTCTATGAGGTTGTAGTGAGGAAATTACAAAAGTTTTGTATTCTGTATTCAGTCTGCTTTGGGTAAAAAACATATGATACTTCTGAATTCCGTTAGTGGGCTATATTAGTGATTCTGTACTTCGGATAGTGGTTATTTTGGTAAAGAAATCATAAAATTTCACTGTTCTTTACACCGGTTTTGTCTCCTGAAAGTACTTTTATAAACAAAATTTCGGAGGAAAAACTTATGGAACTTAGTATACCGTACACATGGAGTTTTATTTAAAAATTATTAAACTTTTGTAATCTTTCTACAGTCGGCTTTGGTTACTCAATATAAAACAATACGCAACTTCAGATTAATATGACGTAAAACCCATATAGAGTACTCATGCTGTTTTTTTTTTTTTTTTTTTTCTCGGTTATGTTTTAAATTGACATATGGTTTACATGTATATTGTTCTGTCGGAGATTCTGATTAAATCCAATTTCATGAAAAAATCTCAAGTATCATTTATTATTAAATTTAACACTAAATAACATGAAAATTTATTTGAAAAAAATTCTAGTCTTCTGAAATTCTGAAAAAATTAACAAGGTTGCAGTAAGTTTCATTAATCAAATTCATCCTTGGGCCACCGATTGGCCCCCCTGTGCCTCTTAATATTCCGAACCTTTTACTTTTTATCATCCAGATTTTTAATTTATTCAATCAGTTTTCATAATTTGCTTAATTGGATCGCACCAATACGACCTGGGCTTCGGGCAGCAATCGGTTTTGTTTAAGCGATTTTTCCCCTTGTATATGGTTTTTAAGTGGTTTTGGTTTAAAATTTGAGAAATTATTCGACATTTCAAAAATTGAGATGGATGAATTACTGTTTTTTTATAAAATTGCCTGTAATCCCTGTACTGTTTTAAAATGTATTTGTGCGATCCGTTCACAAAATTAAAATTTTAATATAACCTGACATTTTCTTGAACCTCTTCCGAAAAAATGTTATAAATTTAATAATTAATTCAATTCACTAAAAACATTTTCGCGGTGTTCATAAGTGTTCTTTTTTTCTATCATATTTATGAATACTCCACAAAAATAAATACCATCTGAGGATATATCTGCTGCAGATTTTACTTAAAAGAGCTATCACTAATGTTTTATTGTACTTTGTTTAAAAAAAATCAATCCAACGTTAAAATGCCTACTTTTTAATTGAAAAAATAATATATTTTCCTTATCGACGACTTATTTTTGTTTAGAAGAATAAAAGTGTTCGAATTAATATAATTTTTTATTTTCTGGACGAGAATTAGAATACAAACTAGCTCTTTATAACGGTATTTATGATAATCTATGACTGGTTGTCATGTAATCCGTAACAAAGATAAAATTAATCAATTAACCAAATTAAATTAAATTTTAAAACATCATACGGGTAATTCCTCTAGACCAAAGGAATACAAATCATACAATTCTTTGAACAGGAATTTGCCAATTAAATTGGATAAAATGACTGTTATTATATCAACTGCATCGTAAAATTAACCAAATGGAATAACTCGTTATGGTAATAGATGTTAATAACTGGACATTAGCATCAGAGTCGGAGCAAGACGACAATTAAATTATTCGTCTCCTAGGATTTTGGTCACTTGTGTCTGCTTGGGTCCGTAGAGCCGCGTCGTAAAATATAACTGAGATGGTTATCGGACCCCAAGGACGAAAGCCTACATCCAAACCAGTGGGTGAAAAATGGATAATGTCCAGGTATAAATTTCTTCTGAGTTGTTCATATCAATTATCGATTTGTTCTAACTGGAATATCGGTTGGATCCTGTTAATTCTATAGTTCCCATCACAAACAAGCAGGTCAATCGTTGTTTTTCTCGTAAAAATGTTAGTTTTAACAAAAAACGTTGTATATAAGGTAATCGGTAAAATATTAGTCCATAATAGCATAGTTAGCATAAGAATCGACCAGTAGATTGGTCGTTTGTTCCTCCTTGGCTGCATATAATCTCTGATTTGGTCTGCTAAGCATAAACATAAAAATTATACTCCTTAAAGTTGTTCCGTGATTTATCACTCAAATAAAATTGAAAAATTGCAACAGCAAAGTATTTTTTTCCGATTTATGATGGTGCTATTAACTCAAACGGAATTTAAAAATTGAAATAACAGATTGTAGGATTTATTGTTGAAGTTTGCCAGGGTGTTGTATCTGTAGTTGAGACGTACTGATCATCACTATCCGGCTTTGGTTGCTTCCTGGTCTCTCAGATACTTTCCGAAATTTCTCGACCTTCAGTTATTTTGTTAATCACCAAACCTATAAAAAGGAATTTTAAAAAAAGAAACACATACTGAAGCTGATGACATGCTGATCCTGCCGTGACAGACTAGTACGATGTTCTGCAGGCAAGGTTGTGTCAGCAACCAAAAATAAAATTATTATATCAACGCAACAAGAATTGAAAATTTTGAAGCAACATGTACGATTTATTTTTGATGGTTTTAAGTGTTGTACCTATCCGATCATTATGGTCCGCCTGTCCTCGCTGATTCGTTCTAGTCACATTTTCCCCTTCCATTAACCGAATTTCGTCATCTTAAGGGGTGGTTTGATGGTAATTTTTTTCAGAAGGAACATGACTAAAAAAATAAAATAAACGACGAACTGACAACAGAAGATGTTGAAATGGAGATCCTGTCGTGTCAGGGCAAAACAGCGAGGGTAGGCGGACCAGGATGATCATAAACGACCAAACTACATAGCAATGAATTAACAAACTAAGAAAATGTTAAATGAGGACGATTTTGTCTCTCCACTTTGTTCAGTTCTGCAATGACAGGATAGGCGGATCCTAATATTCAGAATCGACCACATTACATGCAAGTTTTGTTTTGATATGTGGTAGTTATGTTTTCTTTATTTATTTCAATATTTTAAAGTTTTTATTCATTTATTTATACTTCGAGTGGCTTATTTTTAGGATACCTCAATATTCCATATACCAGGTTACATTTGGTAGTACTACTATATTCAAAATACATTTCAAAACTTTTTAAAAAAGTTTTAAAATCTACAGATGATTTAATTAATGTATAGTGAAGAAATAAAAATGACCATTGAGAATGCTGTAGTTTATACATAAGACTTTTTTTCTTCTTTTTTTACGAGGGTTCGCAACAGCAGAGGTTATATCAAACCTCAGGGTGCCGGTGTTTTTTAACAAAAGCCCATTTCTAAGTTTGTCGGGTACGAATTCAGGGCCGCTGGATTCGAACCCGGGACCTTTACCTTACTGTGATGAGCGCCGTGTCAACGCCTAAACCGTTGCGGCCACCGACGCCCCAGCATAAGACATAAATGAACTAATATATATGATAAGTTATATGATATCGATTTTCCAGCTTTTGGATTTAAGATTTAAAAGTAAATAATTTCTCCTTTCTTCTGTCACGTCGAAACGTTCTGACCTCCTGCATACGATCGGGTGATCTGT